AGGGCTGGGCCAGGATGCAGCTCAGAGCCCACCACCACCCCCAACTCACTGCGGACAGTGTGGACCTTGCGGACGGCATAGCTGAGTCGGTTACTGAGGCTGGGCAGCCGGGCCACCGCCTGCTCCACCTTAGCCATGGTGCTCTGGAGGCAGACCTGGGAGCTGGAGGAGCACAGGCCGCTGACCGCTGACCCGCACCTCACCCCCACAGGGCCTGGGGCCTGCACAGACCCCTCCCCCCATCCTGCACTGTCGCACAGGTGGGGGTGGGGGGAAGCAGGGAAGGGAAACAAGAGAGGCTAGGGGTAGGACCTGGGGCACGTGTGCCCCAACCTCATGCCCTATGCTGCAGCTGCTAAAACAAAACCTGGGAGGAGCTTTAGCCTTTTAGCGACTGTCACAGAAATACGATCTGGTTGCTTATAAAAATATTTTAAAAAGCACAGCTATTCCTGGTCCCACAACCCATGCAGAGTAAACTTCTCATTTGGATCCTGAGAACCAGTGTCCCCAATAAAAGCCCTGCAATCAACACAGCAAGGTGCAAGGAGCCCCATCTGGCCCCGGGCGCCCCAGGCTGTAAAGGGCTCAGTGACAACAACGCCGCAGGGCCTGGTCTCTGCCTGATGGCCACTCGCTCCCCTGCAGGCCACGAGGCCGTCTCCAGGGCCTGGGATTCCTGGCGCTGGACGCCGCGCCACGTCTGTGGTGGAAGAACACGGCCCGAAGCTTCCATGTCTAAGGAGCCCCTGCCCCTCAAGAAGGCCTCAGACGACTGCCTTATCTTTTCAGGCAAACTCGGGGCTTCTTTTCTTTTTCTTTTTTTAAGATTTACTTATTTATTTGAAAGGCAGAGTTACAGAAATAGAGGGAGAGACATACAGGGAGAACTCTTCCATCCACTGGTTCCATCCACAGGGCTGATCCGAAGCCAGGAGCCTCTTCTAGGGTTCCCACATGGGTGAAGGGGCCTAAGCACTTGGGCCATCGTCTACTGCTTTCCTGGGCCGTGGCTTTACCCGCTACGCCACAGCGCCGGCCCTAAAGCTGATTTCTCACCACCTGGTCTTGGATCACTGCTGCGCAGCTCTCGAACAAGCCCAGGAGTGTGGTTTCCCTGACACGTGAAGGGCAGGTCTGTGAGTGGCATCAGCTGCTGGCCCAGAAGCAGAACCAGCACGGCCCATGAAAACTGAGGGGCTTCAGCTGGGAGCCCTGGGAGGAGGCCCAAGGGGAAAACGGGGGCAGGCCTGGAGCTTCCTCGGAGACGGAAAAACAAGCGGTGACCACAGCAAGTACAGCGAGGAACCCTTTCGGTGGGAGCGCCCAGCACAGGCCGTGGCTCTAAAGCCACTTCCAGGGGTGGGTGTGAGGAGCAGAGGTCAACAACACGGCCGCCTCTCGGGACGTCTGCATCGCACATGAGTTCAGGTCCCAGCTTCACTTCCAACTTCTGCTTCCTGCCAGTGCACCCCATGGGAGGCCGCAGCAGGTGACAACTCTGGTACTTGGGTCCCTGCCACCCACGTGGGAGTCCCACATCAAGTTCTGGGTTCCTGGCTTAGGCCAGGCTAAGCCCCAGCTGCTGTGGGCATTTGGAAAGTGAACTGGTAGACAGAAGAGCTATCTTTCTCTCTCTCTTTCAGTTTCTCTGGTTTTCAAATAAAAAATAAATTTAAGAAAAACTTTAAGATCCATCTTCTGACACAGCCATTGAGTCACCTAGGGACTGTGTCGCCAACCTGGTAACATCCCAAAGTTGGTGCTTTCTGGCAAGAACTCAGCGAGAACCCTGCCTGACCCCTGGGCACCACAGGAAACCCTGCCCCCGGCCTGTCTTTCTGCTCTCCTGGAGGCAGGCGCAGCTGCAACGGGCGGAATCTGGGTGCTGGCTCGCATACCCAGGCCGGTGCGGAGCAGGTTGCAAATGGCTCCCAGTTTGTTCAAGCCAATGGGTTCCCAAGGAGTGAATCCAAGAGAAGGCCGTGGCTGCAAAGGCCCATCCTGCTGACCCCCAGAACTCCCCTGATGCATCCAGGACAGCCCTGTGAGGACCGTGGACAGTCAGAGCACAAACTACACACCAGCACCGCACCAAGGGCTCCACACGGACCGCCTACCGCCCATCCCAAGGACCCCGGTGCCTGGGGAGGCCGCTACTAGCACGAAGCAGCTCTTTCCCAAGGCTCTATGACAGCCTCAGCAAGGCCATGACTACCAAGTCGGCATGAGGGACACGGGCTGCAACTGCCTTAGAAGGTACCGGGCCGGGGCTGGCGCTGTGGCACAGCAAGTGAGGCCACTGCCTGCAGTGCCAGCATCCCATATGGGCGCCGGTTCAAGTCCAGCTGCTCCACTTCCAATCCAGCTCTCTGCTGTGGCCTGGGAAAGCAGTAGAAGATGGCCCAAGTCCTTGGGCCCCTACACCCACGTGGGAAACCCAGAAGAAGCTCTTGACTCCTGGCTTCAGATCGGCACAGCTCCGACTGTTACAGCCAATTGGGGGAATGAACCAGAGGATGGAAGACCTCTCTCTCTCCCTTCCTCCCTCTCTCTCTCTCTCTGCCTCTCCTCTCTCTGTGTAGCTTTGACCTTCAAATGGGTAAATAACTCTTTAAGAATAAAAAAAAGAAGGGACCGGGCACGGCATTGCAGATGCGAGATCTAGCAGCAGGCATGTAGCATTACATGGATTATGTCTTCCCCTAACTAAACAGGGCAGGCCTGGGCAAGCTGATACATAAAGAGAGAAAGACGAGGCGTCCACTCGCCGTCCTTGAGCAGTTCTGGAGACGGAGACCCTGCCGGGTGCTGTACTGCGCGCGAGCCGTTACCAGACTGAACTGCGGGAGGGAGCGCTGCCTCTCCTCCAGCTGAACGCGCAGCACAAGCTCCTAACAAGCCATCCTGTGTGGATGCCCGGGGGTGCCCCAGGAAACAACCAGCACAGCAACTTCTGCAGGGCCAAGCGCCTCCATGCCTCCAGCCCTGTGTCCTCCAGCTGCCACGTTTCCAGCCCCTCCGGCCTGAGGCTCTTTAAGCGCCAGGTGACCAGGAAGCCAGGGAGACCCAACTACTCCTCCCCGACCCCGCCACCCCAGGCACCTGCTGATAGCATCGACCACCAGCTTCAGCTGCTCCTCGGCCGAGGCTGTCTGCTGCCGCCGCCGATGCTTGGCCTCCTGAGCCCGGCTCAGCTCCATCTGCAGGCTCTAGGGAGGATGCAGGAAAGGGAAGGGTTCCTCCTGGGGCCCAGCCTACAGCCCCACAGCAGGGGGCTTCCTTATCCACCGCCGCCTGCCCCCCCCACCTTAGCCTCTGCGACACCTTAGCCTCTCAGACACCAACCTTGGCACTCAACCGCTCCACCTCCACCTCTGCGGCTCTGTCCTGCAGGGTGCGCTGCAGGATGGCCTGCTCCTGGCACTGGGCTGTCACTTGTTCCTGGAGTTCAGCCACCTGGGGGAGGAGAGGGAAGCTGGACAGGGCACATCAAGGGCCAGCCATGCCCCGCAGGCCAAGCCATCCCCAGCGGGGGCACTGGGGCGGAAGCGGCACACGCAGGCATGTTTGGGGACAAACAGCTTGGGTTCCCGGGAATAGAATCTGAGTCCAGCTTTCCTTCCAGGTGCACGTTCCACGTTGCCCACCCCTTGAGACAGCGCCCATGGCCCACCACCCAGGACCCACCTCACCTGATCAGGCCATCCACCCTCAGATGCCCTTGGGCTGCCTGACCACCCTCCCTGTGGCTGAGCCACCCCAGGGTCTCTGCCACATTCTTTAAATTGTCTTCTTTATAGCCCACATCACTACTTGACACTTCCTAATGACTCGCTTGCTTGGAATGTGAGCTGCACGGGGGCAGGTGCGGTGGTGAACGACCGGCCACCCCTCCCCAAGGAGCATGGGGGTGGGGGCAGAACACAGGGAGAAGACAGAGAGCCCGGTGACCTGTCCCTTCAGCTGCGTCACAGAGTCCCTGTGCTCCAGCTCCTGGGCCTTGAGCTGCACCATGAGGTCAAACACCTTCTCCCGCCAGCGGTTCAGCAGGGACTGGCACTTCTTAGCAAACTCGGGCTCCAGAGAATCCGACGGTTGAACCTGTGCACGAGTGGGTGAAGGTGGAGGACACGTGGGCACCGGGGCGGGGGCGGGGGAGGAGGAGGCTTCTTTGCAGCCAGAGGACTCACAGAAAGGAAGATTCCCACAGGGAAGGCAGGCCAGGCGTGGCGGGGGGTTGGGGTGGGGGTGGGGGAGGAGTGGGGGGAGGGCCCTACCTTCCTGGTGAGCTCCGCCTCCTGCAGGGTGAGGATGTGCATGAGGCTTTGCACGCGCACCTGCAGCAGCTCGGCGGTCGAGTGCAGCCCGTCCCGGTCCTGCTGCAAGTGCTGTGGGCAGAGGGAGAGCGGCCGCCCCTACAGGGCCTCCGTGCCTGCCCGAGGACCCCGCACGGCCTCCTCTCCTGGGGACGGCCCCTCTTCCAGGGGCTGTCCCTCCTCCCCCCCACCCCCCACGCTCTCTCACCTGCATGGTTTCCAGAAGCTCCTGCCGCTCGGGCTCCCAGGCCTGGCTGCAGGTCTCGGGAGGGACTTGCTCTCCCACGTATTTCCGTAGATTCTCAACCAGAGTCATGTGAGCCTCCAGATCTTTCTGGGTCTTGCTAGGGTTTGGGGTGGGGACAGGGCGGCCATCAGCGGGGCGCCCTGAAGATAAACCACCCCCGTCCCGGACTGTGGGCCCACTCGGGCCACCACCACTGCCACCCGTCCCCCACCCCCCGGCTGCCACTGACCTCAGCTGTTCCCGAAGCAGCTTGGCTTCCCGCTGCGTCCCGGCCAGCTCCTTGGCCTCCCCTACCCTCCTGGCCTCCAGACTACACAGAGACTTCTCCAAGCCCTCGGCCTTCTTGGTCAAGCTGGAAAGGGCCTCCTGGTGAGCCTGGGTCAGGGAGGACAGCTGTGGCGAGAGGCAGAGACTCAGCAGGGACCACTCGCCGCAGGCATCAGGGCCTCCCACTCCTCCCCCGCCCTTGGCCTCCTTCCTTCACTCCCACTTTGTGCAACCCCAGAGACCAACTCAGCCACGCTCCCAGCTGCACATAGCAAATGGAGGCTGTGCTTGGCACCTGGCTTTCGTGGGTCACCCCCAAATCCATCAGCAGGTTCGGTCAGTGCCCCATCACCATCACGTCCTCACTTATATCTCCCCGCCTCTGATCAGCAGGTAGCCCACCACCTCCCACCTGGACAACAGAACCCACCTCCCAACTAAGTCCTTGAGCGTCTTTAGTGGCATTCAGAACAGAACTTGTGCACGAGTGGGCGAAGGCAGAGGACACATGGGCACACTTCCAAACCCCCCATGTTGTCGGCTGTGGCCAGGCCGGGCCCATTCCTCGGAGCCCCTCACCACGGCCCTCCCACTGTTCATGCTGGGTCAGCTGCAAGGGTCTGCCTGGGGCTGGACGTGGGTCCTCCTTGCTCTGCAGTCAGCGGCTGACATCGCACCCTCAGGCAGGCCCGCAGACCCCTCCCCGCCACCACGCTCAGTCCTAGCTCTGTCCCTGGCCTTCCCAGCACTGGTCACAGGACAGCATCTCACTGACGCGCTTACTCTCATCACACCGCCGGAGTAGGGGAGCATGGGGAGGGAGGACTCATCTCCCTTCTCACTGCTCTGCAAGCCTAGTAGGGGCGCCAGAGCCCCTGAGTGAGTCACGGGATGGACCGAGGAGGAGGAAAAAGTGGCCACCCCATGCCCGGGCTGCCCCTCCAGCTGTCTCCACGTAGCAAGGTCATTCTCTCGGGCAAAAGTCAGAAAACTGATCTTTTCAATCTAAAACACAAATCTGATCATATTATTTCCCTGCTTAAAACCTTTTGATAGTTGCTCATTGATCCTTTAAGATTTATTTATTTTGAAAGTCAGAGTTACAGAGAGAGAAATCTTCATCAGCTGGTTCACTCCCCAGATGGCAGCAATGGCCGAGGCTGGGCCAGGCCAAAGCCAGGAGCTGAGAGCTTCCTCTGGGTCTCCCTGTGGATGGCAGAGACCCAAATACTTGGGCCATCTTCCACTGCTTACAGGTCATTAGCAGGGAGCTGGGTTGGAAGTGGAGCAGCCAGGACACAAACCAGCCTGTATGGGGTGCTTGCATATCAGGTGGCAGTGTAACCTGCTGTGCCACAGAGTTCTGGGCCAGCATTACGGGGCAGCGTGGTTAAGCAGCTGCTTGTGACACTGGCAACCCAAACCAGAGTGTTGGTTCAAGCCCCAGATGCTCTGCTTCTAATCTAGCTTCCCGCAAAGGCACCTGGGCAGGCAGTAAATGATGATCCAAGTACTTGGGCCCCTGCCACCCACGTGGGAGACCCAGATATAGTTCTGGGCTCCTGGTTTCAGCTAGTCCCAGTCCTGGCTGTTAATCATTTAGGGAGTGAACCGACAGATGGACAATCTCTCTGTGTGTCTCTCCCTCTTTTTATCACTCTGCTTTTCAAACCTATAAATAAATAAATCTTTAAAAACATAAATTTCTGGGGCCGGTGCCATGGCTCACTTGGTTAATCCTCCGCCTGTGGTGCCGACATCCCATATGGGTGCCAGGTTCTAGTCCTGGCTGCTCCTCTTCCAGTCCAGCTCTCTGCTGTGGCCCGGGAGGGCATTGGAGGATGGCCCAAATCCTTGGGCCCTGCACCCTCATGGGAGACCAGGAGGAAGCACCTGGCTCCTGGCTTCGGATTGGAGCAGCGCACCAGCCGTAGCGGCCATTTGGGGGTGCACCAACGGAAGGAAGACCTTTCTCTCTGTCTCTCTCACTATCTAACTCTGCCTGTCAAAACAAACAAACAAAAAAAACCATAAAGTTCTGAACTGGTCTGAACGCCGGGAGCTGTGCGGTGCCACCCAGGGTCCCTCATCTCCTGTACTCAAGCCCCTCGGCCTCCCGCATCCCGGGCCCCACAGCTGCCCTCCGGAGTGCCCCAGCTCCCCTCGCCAGCCCACGCGCCCCTTCACCAGCCAACTCGTGCTAAGCAAACATCAGCTGCTTCTTACTGCGCCTCTCACGAAGCAAAAGGCTGTTCTCACACTCCTACGACCTGCCTATGTCCTTTGTTTTCTGCCGGGCCCGTGGCCTTCTCTGTTGATTCCTGGGCACACACTGTATCTCAGGGTGTTGGTCTCCTCCTGGGATGTGCGCTGGAAGTGCGCTTCCCTGGTTTCTCACTCACTCTAACTCTGCGTCACTCCTGGCACCAACACCACAAACTCAATTATCAACATCTGCTTTCATGGCTTCCAGATTTTTTAGAAAATATAGTTATTTTTACTTTATTTTTATTTCTTTGAGAGGCAGAGAGCGAGAGCGAGAGCGAGAGCGAGCAAGTGAGCCAGAGTTACCATCTGCTACTTCACTCCCCAAATGCCCACAACAGCTGGGGGATCAAAGCCAGTAGCCGGAGACTCATCCAAGTCCCCCACCCGAGGGGCTGGAAGCAGCCACTTGAGCCATCGTCACCTGCTGCCTCCCATCTGCATGAGCAAGAAGCTGAAGTCAGGGGTCCGAGGGCAAGGCAGCCTGGCACCCGGGTATGGGGCACAGCGTCCTCACGGACAACTCAACCCCCGCACCAGATGCCTGCAGCTCGACTCACGCACAGGCAGGGGGGCCCTGCCCACTCCACGGCTGTAAGGGAACCCACCAACTTCTCTTCCAGTGCCTCTGTGGTTTCATTCGTGACATCTGTGGCTCATCACGGTGGCCCGCCCTCACCCCCAGACTAAGTCAGAGCTCCCCTCCAAGGCACTTCTTCCATCTGTAACTAATGAATAATGACCACATTGAATGTGGACCCTGCATGTCCCCCACTTGGCCGTGAGTTCCATCCACGAGGGCCAGGACTCAGATTTGCTCACTAGGATGGTGATGACCAAGCACTGAGAAATGACTGAGTAACCCTCCTCACTGTCCACCCCCCCCAATGCCCCCACGTGAACTGGGCACCTGCAGTTAAGGAAGGAGGTGGGTTACTTCTTCCGAAGAGGAAGGGGGGCTTCCTGCACTGGACGGGGGGGTGTCATCTGAGTCCCGGGGGAGACACCCAAGTTTTCTTTCCACGCCACCCGTGTCTTTCTCCTGCACCCAAGACCTCACTGTTCCATGGTTCATGGAGGTCTCTTTGACATCTGCCCTCTGCCAGGGAGCTACTGTGACCCTGCTGTGAGACCGAACCCTTCCCGCCCCAGGATTCACCTGTTCTTGGTGCAGCCTCTGAACCTCCTCCAGTTCCCGCTGGCTTCCCTCTTCCAGGTTCTTCCGGACGACCTCAGCCCCGGCCAAGGCGGCCCGCAGGCCCTCGGCCTCAGCCCGGCCGGCCTTCTCTGCCCGAGCCAGCGCCTCCAGCTCCATGGCCTGGGCTTCCAGCCTCATCTTCTGCTGCAGCGAGGTCTCCCGCAGCGTCCGCACCTCCTCCTCCAGCCGCCGCAGATCCTGCAGCTGCCGAGAGATGAGCTCGGCCTGCTGGCTCAGGGCCTGCGACCCTGCCAGTTCCAGGGACCTTCAAAGATAAGTTGGCGCAGGTGAGGCGCGTCCCTGGTGCTGGGAGGGTAGCGAGGGCACACACAGAGACAGGAGGAGGAAGAGGACCAGTCTGCTCCTGCGAGGGAAGAGGGGGATGAGGCTTGGGGCATCGAGCTCTCCAGGTTCCCATCATCATTGTCAATCATCCCGGCCCTGCGAAGCACAACAGGTTCAGCCTGGGCTCATGGGACCTAAACGCCAGTGAGAGGTATCGCAGGCAGGAGTATTCACCAGCAAGTGTGCGTAGCATGAGGTCACTCGCTCTGCACAGAGGCTGGAAAACACACACAGAGACTGCTGAATTCCGACCTGAGGAGAAGGAAGAGTGGGAGACAAGCACAAGGGGAGAAAGATGGGAAGCTTCCAGTCCTGACAAGGCAAGGCCGCACTACAGGCATTGAGGGTCAGGTACGCTCTGCTGTTTGAGGGCCTGAGGGGTTAGCACATTAGTGAACAACACGGTCCAGATCTTTTTGTAATATGAGAACAGCTCAAGCAGTTCATGAAAAAAAAAGGGGGGGGGTATTAAAAGGTAAGTTCATTTTGTTGCAAAAAAGTTTGCATGGCCTACAGGAGTCACGAAAGCTTAAACCAGCTTCCAGGGGGCTGGCGCATGGCTCACTTGGTTAATCCTCCGCCTGTGGCACCGGCATCCCATATGGGTGCTGGTTCTAGTCCCGGTTGCTCCTCTTCCAGTTCAGCTCTCTGATGTGACCCGGGAGGGCATGGAGAATGGCCCAAGTGCTTGGGCCCTGCACCCACATGGGAGACCAGGAGGAAGCACCTGGCTCCTGGCTTCGGATCAGCACAGCACTGGCCGTAGCAGCCATTTGGGGAGTGAACCAATGGAAGGAAGACCTTTCTCTCTGTCTCTCTCTGTGTCTATAACTCTACCTGTCAAATAAATTAAAAAAAAAAAAAAAAAAAAAACGCTTCCAACAGGGCTCCTGAGGCAGCTCCCTCCAGAAGGCTGGGACCACAGAACTGGCACAGGGCGGTAAGCGACCACTTGCAACAACGGCATCCCACATCAAAGCACTGGTTTGAGTCCTTAAGTTCTGCTTCCAACTCAGCTCCCTGCTAATGCGCCTGGAAAGGCAACAGAAGTCGTCCACGAGCGTGCAGCCCCTGCCACCCGTGAGGGAGACCTGGATGGAGCTCCTGGCTCCTGGCTTCTGCCTGGCCAACCTCTGAGTGCTGTGGCCACTATGGAGGTGAAGCAGCAGGTGTTCGGTGCCCCTCCCTCCCTTCCTCCCTCCCTGTCACGCTGCCTGTCAAATAAATAGAGAGTAGCGCTCTGGAGCAGCCTAGGGAAATTAAGAGGTGCACAAGACCCCTAGCTGACAGTCAAACAGAAACAGCAGGTCTGTCTCTGCTCCCTCTTCTTCCTCGTACCCACTCCTCTTTGATGTGCTCCCACTCATGGTAGACAGGAGTGGCAGAATGAAACCGGTACAACTGCGGAAAACACACAGGAGACAACAAGGACATTTGCAGACGACACCTTCACAGACGGCCGAGCCAGCCCCTCAACCGCCTGCCCTCTGAAAAGGCTTTCTGTACCCGCTCCATCAGAATAAACCCACACCCCACGGCACCAGGCCTATTTCTAGTACTTCTTCCTCGAGCTCTAAACTACGCGTGGTCAGTCTGTCTCCTCTAGGAGTTTAAATTCCTAAGCAATGTCAAGTTTAAGTTAGGGGTGGGAGAAGGCTGGCCACCATGTCCACTGCTGCGAGCACCGAGCACTGGTTCAAGTCCTGGCTGCTCCACTTTCAATCCAGCTCCCTGCTAATGCACCTGGGAGGCAGTGGAAGATGGCCCGAGTTCGTGGGCCCCTGCCACCCATGTGAGAGACCCAGATTTAGTTTCGGGCTCCTGGCTTCGGCCTGGTCCAGCCCTAGCTGTACTGCAGACATTAGGGGAGTGAATCAGTGGATGGAAGATCTGTCTCTGCCTCTCTCTCTGTAACTCTGCCTTGCTCATAGATAAACATATTTTTTAAAGAAAAAGTTTAGGTCAGGATCTCTCTTCATTTTTCTCTGCCCCATCCCCAGGTCTAGCACACTGCCTTATTACTTATGCAATGCGGGTACCAATAATTGCTCATGTAAAAACAAACAAGTTACTGAGTCAGGGTTTGTAACAGGCCATGGAATCTGTTTCAGTGAAGAAAGGCCACGAGAAAGCGAGTCTGAGAACAAGGTGGCAACAGTCCCCTACCTGCCTCTCCGCCCCGGCTCCTGCCCGTCACCGGACACGTCCTGCTCCCAGAGGGTCACTTGGTGTCTGTGGGTGTCCAGCCGCCTCTGTGACACATCCTGACGGGCCTGGGGCTGGACGAGGGGAATGTCTGAAGCCCAGGTGGGAGCCATCCTTGGCCCGGTTGAAAGGGGCCGGGCTTGGAAGTGGGAGGGGGGGATCAAGCCAGAGACACCTGCGGAACCACAAGAGCACAGTCAGCTTCCCAGGCAGCGGGGGCGACCGCCAGCCCCTCGCCTGCGCCGCCCCACTGACCTGAGGGCTGAAACATCTCCATGTGACTTGAAGACGCTAGATGCTGCCTCCAGCCTTCTATGCTCCCCTGGACAAGAGGAGAAACAAGGACACTCCAGTTCAATTTTCAGGTCACCTTCCAAAGAGAAAGCCCCTACAATAACAAAGTCACAATGCTAAATTACAGCCAGCTCCCCTGTCTCTCAGCTCCTCTTCCCACTCTTGTGGAAGAAGTATGAGACCCCACCCCACTGCCTGCTTGTCCTAATGCAAAACTCAGGCAGGGGGCCTGCGCTGTGGCCTAACGGGTAAAGCCACCACCTGCAGTGCCGGCATCCCATAGGAGCACAGGTTCGAGTCCTAGCTACTCCACTTCCAATCCAGCTCTCTGCTATGGCTTGGGAAAGCAGCAGAAGATGGCCCAGGTCATTGGGTCTCTGCACCCGCCTGGGAGACCTGGAGGAAGCTCCTCACTCCTGGCTTTGGATCGGCGCAGCTCCGGCCATTGTGGCCAATTGGGGAGTGGACCAGTGGATGGAAGACCTCTCTCTCTCTCTCTCTCTCTCTGCTTCTCCTCTGTGTACTCTTTCAAATAAATAAATCTTTAAAAAACAAAAACAAAACAAACAAACAAACAAAACTCAGGCAGAAACCAGGAGGGAGGCGGAGAAAACTCAAGGAGGTGGACGAGCCAAGGGGGAGCTTTTGGGCTTTGATCATCCTGCTAGGACTCAGGCAGTGTCTTTACCCTTCTCCTGAGGTTTCTACTGTCCCTGCTGCTCCTGGCCTGAGAGGACGAAGGAGGCACACCGTGCAGAGGCCCCGAGCCCAGCCTCCAGAGTTCTCGCCATGGCTCGGCAAGGCCTTGGGGAAGCCCACCCAGACACCACCAGGCCATGACTCCCGGGTCCTTTCCCAGCAGAGCGCTGGCCCAAGGCCTGGCCCCTGATGAATGTGGCCACATGTAGGGCTGGACACCTCCCCAGGACTGCCTGGGAGTCCAGATGGCCTAGATGCCCCCGCACAAGAGCCAGATCTTTCTTGCAACTACCCTCTTGCCCATGCCCTCGGCGTCCATCCCTGCGGACCTGCTCTCTCTAGGGTCCTAGAGCACAGTGGGCCCTTCAAGATCTTTCTCACACACTCCCACCCGAATTCACCCCCACCTGAGATTCCCTTCCTGCATTCTAGTCTGCTTTTTTCCTGAAGGAATTATTCTGGTCCATCACCCTCACCCTCATCTCCCAGCTAACAAGCAGCCTGCTCGCGTCTCCCAGCACCCCAGTCTGATTTCTGCTCTCTCTCCCCCGTGCCCTGATATCCTCAACCTTCACCCTGCAGGACCCTGAACTCTAAGGCCGTCCTGACCACCTCATCCGCTCCTTTACCCAGCCCCTGTACCCTTCTTCCCCTGTGACCCCCTGCACCCCCCAGCACCCCGTCTCAAGCCCCCTCCCGCCCCCAACCGACTCTTCCCGAACGCCCCTTACTCAGCGCGAGAACGCCCCCTCCGCCCCTTGGTCACACCCATCACACCTCGCTCCCCGCCCGGCCTCCGCCCTTGACTACGCCTGCGCCAGGCGGGCGGCGTGGCGGGCCGCTCTGAAACTCCGTTTTGTCCAGGAAGGAAAAGGAGCAAAGGTGCACGCAGGCGCAGTGGCGCCTAAAGCTGGGCCCAATTACTGCGTCTAAGCAACTGCGCGCCTTGGCCGCTCCGCCCCACTCGGGGACCCGGGAAAACCTCTGAGCTAATCAGAAAAAGCGGAAGGCGGGAGCTCGCGGGACCCGCCCAGCGCACCGCCCAATGGAGCGGAAGATGGTCACAGAACTAGCCAATCAGGCGCGGTCCTGGGGGCGGGCTCTCTGGGCGCGAAGTTCGGACCCGGGAATTCCGAAGGAGGGGTCTGCGCTGCCCGCGCGCCGAGACCGCGCCCCTCCCGGCCCCGGCTTCCTGGCTGTCAAACTGCAGTGCGAGCGCTTAGCCCAGCTGAGGAGCCCGAGAGGACCTGCGGCCGCCGCTCGGGCTGGCGTCGCCTGGAGAGGAGCCCGCTCCAAGACTGCGCCGCGCAGGTAGGTCCGAAACGGAGCTGGGGCCGGGAGGGCGAGCGCTCGCGTGTTCGCCAGGAGCTCCTTCTTCTGATTTACCCCACCCGAAGGAAGCCGGGAAGCGAGGTTTAGATCCGCTTTGTTGGGAGTACCTAGGGACCTGTTTGCACTGCTCTTTGCGTGTATGTGTGTGTGTGTTGGGGGGTGACAGTGAATTCACTCCCCCCGCCCCGGGGTTCAAGCTAGTTCTCAATGAGGGATTGGCCAAAAAGAGCGAGGGCGCGGGCGAACGGGGAGGGGGGTGTTGTTTTGGATAAGCAGGTCTGACAGGAAGAAGCTTGTCTTCAAATTGCACCCGGGCAGCACCCACACACGCCTCCGATTTGCATTTCCCCAGAAGCTGCCTAACGTGACCTTTGCCTTGCGCAGGTCGGAGGCTCCCAGGATGTCTGGCGGCCCGAGGATCCAGCTCCACTGAGTGGCGGGAGGACGCGTTCCAGTTTGCCCCTTGCACCCTGTCCTCCCTGTTTTTTTTTTTTTTTTTTTTTTCCCTTGCACATCTGCTTCGCAGCCAGTTTTGCATCGCCTGCCTCAGCTGCCTGCACTCCTCCGGGTTTGCACTGCCCAAGTAGCGCTCCAGGTTGAAACTGCACACAGCCCAGCTCACGTCTGCACACCAGACTGAGAAGTGAGATCGAGCCCCGGCTCAGGCAATGGAAGAGCCGATGGATTCCTGAAGTGCAGCAGGTGGTGCAGAGGGGCGCCCGCCCATGCTGCCCTGCTTCCAGCTGCTGCGCATAGGGGGCGGCAGAGGCGGCGATCTCTACACCTTCCACCCCCCCACTGGGGCTGGCTGCACCTACCGCCTGGGCCGCAGGGCTGACCTCTGTGATGTGGCCCTGTGGCCCCAGCAGGAGCCTGGCCTCATCTCTGGGGTGCACGCGGAGCTGCACGCTGAGCGCCGGGGGGAAGACTGGAGAGTCAGCTTGGAGGACCACAGCAGCCATGGTGAGCAGCGGACAGGGCAGCCTTGCCCTGCCCGGGCTGTTCCGTGATGGAAGGAGTGAGGGGCCCCACGGTGGGCTCTGTTTGGTTCATACAGGACCACCTGGAGAGCGGGGGCTCTGGGCGGCATCATCAGGGAAGTCGGTGGGCTGGGACCACGCACAGACTTCACTTTCCAGTCTTGAAGATTTACTTATTTTACTTGAGTTTCAGAGAAGGAGAGAGAGAGGTAGAGAGGTCTTCCATCCGCTGATTCACTCCCCAGATGGCTGCAACAACCAGAGCTGAGTCAGGCTGTGGCCAGGAGCTTCAGCCAGGTCTCCTACATGGATGGCAGGGGCCCAAACACTTGGCCATCCTCTGCTGCTTTTCCCAGGCCATCAGCTAGGGAGCTGGATCAGAAGTGGAGCAGCCAGGACTCAAACCGGCGCCCATATGGGACGCCTCTGGCTTTATCTGCTGTGCCACAGCAACTGTTCCTGAGTTGTATTTTAATCCCCTGGGCATGTGTCTTTCTCCTACTCAGCAGTTGAGTCTCAGAAGGCCTAGGTTCACATTTGAGCTTTGCCCCCAGGCCCTGGCAAATCCTGTGTTGGGTAAAACATAAGGCTTGGTGAAATCTGCCTTGGGGGCATTACGAGACATTTAGCATGCACTGTTAATGAGCCAGGCACTGTTTTAAGTGGATTGAATGCAGGCGGCACTAACAGGAGCCCCAGTTTACAACCCAGGAGGTTATAAGGGCTCTGGGTCTCACAGCTGCTAAGCGGTAGGGCCAGGAGTTAGAGGAGTCTGGGCTGGGCGAGAGCGAGCATTGAGAGAACCGGACCCCAGCAGCAGAGGGAAGGAAGGAGCCCATCCGTGGGAACACACAAGGAAAAGAAGCTCGTTCCCAGCTCCCAGGCTTAGACATGCTGACACTGAAGAGGGGCAGAGGATGAAGGGTACTCTGACGTCAGGAGCCCCGTTCTCCACGTTCCCCTGAAAAGCAAACCGGGCCGGGTTGCTGTCCTCCCGAGCACTCATGTCTGCCTTTGTGTTTGTCTGCTGCCCTCCACGCACAGGGACTTTGGTCAATAATGTCCGCCTCCCCAGAGGTCACAGGCTGGAGTTGAATGATGGTGACCTCCTGACCTTTGGCCCTGAAGGGGCCCCTGGAACCAGCCCTTCGGAGTTCTACTTCATGTTCCAACAAGTCCGGGTCAAACCTCAGGACTTTGCTGCCATCACCACCCCCAGGTCTAGGGGTGAAGCCGGGGCTGGGGCTGGCTTCCGGCCCATGCTGCCCTCGCAGGGGGCCCCGCAGCGGCCCCTCAGCACCCTCTCCCCCGCCCCCAAGGCCACGCTCATCCTCAACTCCATCGGGAGCCTGAGCAAGCTCCGGCCGCAGCCCCTCACCTTCTCCCGGAGCGGGAGTGGGCCACAGAGCCGGCCCCTTCCCACCCCACCTGGGGAAGCGGGGACCACCCCTTCCGCACCACCCCCAAGAAACCGGAGGAAATCGGCTCACCGGGTGTTGGCAGAACTGGACGACGAGGAGGCTCCTCAGGGGCCCCTACCGGTGCTCCTGGAGCCCAGGAAGAAACTCCGCGTGGAGAAAGCCCTGCTGACACCCAGTGGGTAAGTGGCGGGTGTGGGGGGGTTCTCTGTGCACTGCCTTCTCTTGGATGGCTCTGGATTCCTTTCCGAGGCACGGGAGTGAGGATGGGAGGTGGGCAGAGAAAGACGAGAGCTGGAGTGGCCAGAGCAGAGTGCTGGTTGGGGCTGGGGGCGTTGGCAGGTGGCAGACTAGGCGTTTCTGCCTTCTTATATTCAGATAGCTTTAACCCCATTCTAGTGCTTGAGGGGGGGGAGATGAATTTGCAGGCTCCCCACTAGGTTTCCAGGTCTGCCCTGGTCTAGTGAGCCCACCTAGATTCATCCTAAACTCCGATAACCCTGGTGTTTGTCACTTCCTTCAGAAATCGGCGCGGCCGTCCCCGGAAGCACCCCATGGCTGCCTCCACGGCGCCCCCTGCTGGCGGGAGCAGGGAGCCCTGTGCAGCCCCTTGTTGCAGCCTGCCCCAAGAAGACACAGTGGCCTGGGTTCAGTGTGATGGTTGTGATGTCTGGTTCCACGTGGCCTGTGTCGGCTGCAGCATCCAAGCTGCCATGGAGGCAGACTTCCGGTGCCCAAGGTGCTGTGTTGGCATCCAGACCTGAGGACCAAGGCACTAGAGGACACAGTGCTGACACCCCCAGGCCAGGGGTGGACACTGTAGAGTGCAGATAGCTTCTCTTTGCCCCTCAGCATGGGGTAACTAGAGAGGTCCATTGCTGTGGGTGCTGACGCAGTGCCTAGAACAGGGCCTCATGGCCAAGGCCACAGAAGACATGGCTTCCTGCTAGAGCTGCCTCCAGGAAGTTGCCAGTGACCTGCAAGTTCCTACCATGACAAGGAGTACAGCCCCACTGCTATGGACACCAGAGTATCATCAGAGTACCACCAACTGCAGAAGCCAGGCCTGGGAAGATGTGAGGGGGCAGGGAAGGTTCTTGAATGGTGTTGCCAAGAGCATCCTGGGACAACCTAGGGCAGCCACCTTGCACTGTGGCTGGTCCTGCTGCCACCACCATCATAGCCACCTGGCTTTGCAAAGCTTTGCTTCTATTTCCAAATAAAGAACAGCTCCATTCTGGCAGTTACTCTCTTGTGGGTCTCCTACTCTGTGCTGCCCCCTGCTGGGGAGAATGAGGAGCCTTAAGGGCAGGAGATGAGCTGAGAAGGAGCCTGCTTGCTACAAAGGTGAGAGATTATGGGAGGAGCCCTCTCTCTCCCAAAAAGGAAGACAGATTAAACAGATATCAACCTGGTCCAATGTGGGACAACCTCCTAACCCACCAACTGGTACACAGGGCCTTCTGGGGCCTTACATCAAGCAAAGAGATTGTCAAAGCATCATTTCTGTTCTATTACAACCTGTCCTGTCCTGTCCTGTCTCCTCCCCGCTAGACCTAACCAACCTGGGATTTTCCCACAGCAAAGGCCCCTCCTTAGCTAGTGGCGGAGCCAGAGATGTGGGCATTTAGTGAGTCATTTGTGGACAGGGTGTGCCAGATCCTTAAATGAAAACCAAATGAACCCTGGCATCCAAAAAAGGCAAAGGTGGGGACTGGGGCTATGGTGCAGCGAGCTATAAGCGGTAGCTTGCTGGCATCCTGCTGGTTTGAGTCCTTGGCTGCTTTGCTTCAGATCCAGCTCCCTACTAATTAATGCACCTAAGAAAGAAGATGATGGCCCTAATATTTGAGCCCCTGCCACCCACATGGGCAATCCCGATGGAGTTCCAAGCTCCTGGCAGCCCCAGCAGTTGCAGCCATGTGGGGGGGGGGGGGGGTAAGCTAGCATATGGAAAATCTACTCTGCCTTTTCAACCAACCAAAATTGAAAAACAAAAACACACAAGAGCCCAGGGCCACTTAGGGATGAGAGCAGTGGATCCCTCTCACTGATCGTCCCCACTCCCACCCAGCGCTTGTATTCCCAGAGGACAAATCAAAGACAAAACTGTCTTATCCGTTGTGTCTCAGGCTTCTTTATTTAAAAACAAAGTGATGTGGGGATTAAAATCAAGAGCATCATTGAACTTCACCTTCCCACCAACCAGTTCCCAAAACTCCTTGCCCCACCCTTTGTGTTTCCAATGCCTTCCATAGTGAAATAACTGAATCCCCAAAGCCCTGACTCCAGGTTCTCTCTCCCTAGCGTCTCCCCTGACCTCTGCCTTCACCCCGGGTTCCTGGGAAGGGCAGGCAGCTCAGTTTGAATGCATGGGGGAGCCCAGAGCAGGGACAGGCACAGAGGGGAAGGCTTCCCCCTCAGGGAAGGGCATTGGCGAGTACAGGGTAGCAAAGTGAGGGCTGCCATAGCCTGGGGTACCGAAATGGGGCCCTGGTGCCAGAGGAAAAGACATAGGCCCCCCTGCGAAGGGAGAGCCGGTGGCCTCAAAATCCTCTCGTTGGGAACAGTCACTGCTTGATCGTTTGCCCTTCTGGCGCCGGTTACAGAACCACACACGGACCACCTGGGAGTGGATGACAGGGAAGAGTGCTGTTAGCCTGAGCTCCGGGCGGGGGTGCGGTCTGGCTTTGCTGGGTTATCTCACCCAAAGCCCAATGGACCTCAAGTGGTCACAGGGCAGGAGACAAGCCTGGGAAGGGAAGGTAGGGACAGGGCAGGGGGAGAGATGAGCACGGGGGCAGGGCACTCACGTCTTTCTCGAGCCCCAGCTGCTGGGCGATGTGGCTGATCTGCTGCAGCGTGGGTTTCGGGCACTGCAGGAACATGTTCTCCAAGTTGCCTCTCACTCGGTTCTCAATACTCGTTCGCTTTCTCTTCCGGGCCTGCACGAGGGTCTCCGCTTTGCAAATCTGGGTGGGTGGGAAGAGAGCCACAAGGGCAGGTTTTGCACCTGCTGAGCAATAAATAGCACACCAAGGAAGTCAGGGCCGCAGGAGCAAATGGCATCGACTGGATGTCACCAGAGCCAGAGCAGTTGAGACAGCAAGGGCCTGGCCCTGGTCCCTCTGCAGGCTGAACCGAGGCCTCGCACTCCTACAGCCCCCGTAGCAGCCTCACCTCCTGAAGGTTCTCATTGTTGTCGGCCTCCTCCACCCATTTCTGCAGCAGGGGCCGCAGCTTACACATGTTCTTGAAACTGAGTTGTAGGGCCTCGAATCGGCAGATGGTGGTTTGGCTGAACACCTTTCCTGGGAGAGGCCGGGTGAAGGAGAAAGCAATGTGAGGTGGCGGGCAGGCCCTCATGACCCAAGACCCAGGCCTTGCCGCCTCTCTCCGCCCTCCAGATCCTACCCCAGGGCCCGCCTTCCAGACCTGCTTCCAGACCTTCTCTGGGGAATGTGGAGTTTGCAGCAGAAACAAATACCCTCCCCTGGCTCCTCCTGAGTTCAAGAATGTTCCTCCCAGGGAAAATGTGGCCCCTGTAGGGTGAACACCCACCAAAGAGAACCCCCAGGGTGAGCCCCACGTCAGCCTGAGTGTAGCCCAGAGTGATCCTCTTCTGCTTCAGGAGCTTGGCAAACTGCTCGAGTTCTTTCTGTAGAGCTTTCATGTCCTGGGACTGCATTCAAAAAAAAAAAAAAAAAGAAAGAGGACTCGTGAGAGCAGACGCAGACACACACACACACACACACACCATATACCCCCAACCTTCTCTTTCCATTCAGGGTTCAAGAATTTGACTGTAGGGGTCAACATTGTGGTGCAGCAGGTAAAGCCACTGCCTGTGATACTGGTGTCCCATATGGGCGGGAGTTTGTGTCTGAGCTACTCCACTTCCGGGCCAGCTCCCTGCTGATGCGCCTGGGAAGGCAGAATTGGAAGATAGGTTGGCCCAAGTCCTCGTGGGAGAGACCAGGATGAAGCTCCTGCCAGGCCATTGCTGCCATCTGTGGAGTGAACCAGCAATGGAAGATCTCTGTATAACTCTTTCTAATAAGATAAACAAATGTTTTTATTTTATTTGAAAAGCAGAGTTACAGAGAGGGAGACAGAGACAGAGACACCGAGAGTGAGAGAGAGAGAGAGAGATCTTCCATTTGCTAGTTTACTCCCCAAATAGCCGCAATGACCAGGGCTGAGCCAGGCTAAAGCCAGGAGCCAGGAGCTTCTTCTGGGTCTTCCACGTGGGTGCAGGGGCCCAAGGACTTGGACCATCCTATTCTGTTTTCCCAGACACATTAGCAGGGAGCTAGATTGGAAGTAGGGCAGCCAGGACTCAAACCAGCGCCCATATGGGTTGCTGGTGCTGCAGGCCATGGCTTAACCTACAGAGCCACAGTGCTGAGCCCATAAACAAAATCTTAAAAGAATCTGTGACCCAATGAAGTATCTCTGCCCCTCAAACATCTAGAAAGAAGATATTTACCAAGTAATTCCTCCACTTGCTGCTCAAGGCCTCTGCATATGATGAGGACTCGTCCCTCAGAAACTGGCACCTCCAGTATACGCAGGGCACCATGCAAGGTGCAAGGCAGGTTCCAGTCTCCCTGAGAGCACCTGTCGGGCTCCCTCCTGACACCTCATTTAATGCTCACAGAAGTCTCTTTGACTCAAGTGACTCCTACTCTGAGAAAGTTTTGAGACTAGTGAAAGAGTACCATGTCTGATTCTAGACTTAATACACTTTCCTCAGCTTGTCCCAAGGTCCCACAAACCATGGCATGGCATGTGCATACACAAGCAAACATACCACCAAAAGTCCTGGGTGTCCCAAGAGGCATGACTGAAAATACTTTGTATACAATGTTCATGGAAACACCGAATGACATACTTGGTACTCGATTTCAACAAAAAACCCGATTGCTCTTATTTTTACTCTCTTTCTGCAAATAGCAAGGCATCCTCATTGGTCAATGCAAGATTTATTGAGCACCTTCTTTAAGCCAGCGACTACACAAAGCAGACAAATAGCCTGATATCTCCGGGAGCTTCCGTTTAAGGTGGACACAAACAATTATTATCCCACACGACAGAAGTGCTGTGGGGAAGGAGGGCACGGGGAGTCGATAAGGGCAAGAGCAGGGAAGTATGAGGTTGACAATCTTCAAAGATATCCAGGGGTGCTATAAGGCACCTCAAGTGACAAAGCCCTGAGTGTCCCTTGCAGCCCCAGGAAGGGTAGGACAGGGGAATGGCTGAGCAAAGGTGGTGGGGCAGGGGACCTGCACAAGTCCTGGGAATCCTGCAACTCTGGGTTACTCAGTGCAATGGTAACTCGCATTTTAAAGCAGTGGGGTCTAGCTGATGTGTTGGCAGCACACTGTAAGGAATCCACAAGGTGTAATTTGGGAGGCTTCAGCATAATGGTGACTGGGACCAGGAGGGTAGATGCAACTGATTTAGGAAGTGCAAGGAAAGGTAAGATAGTAGTTTCCTAAGGGTCAGGGCAGGAGGTGAAAGAAACTGAAAACGATAGGTTTTGGCCTTGAGCTACAGCACGGTGGGGTGGGGCAGTTCAGGGAGCCGTCCATGCAGGAGGTAGAAAATGCGGCAGTCACCAGAGGTCTAAATGTTAAGTATTTAAGCCTCAGGGATGGGGTGGGGTGGGGTGGGGGTGGGTGACAGGAAGGAAGGGGAGAGAGAGCACCTGAGGTTGAAAGACTAAGCCTGGGGCCACTGCCTTGGTAGCTGAGCCAGCCAAGGTAGCAGCCAGGGAGAAAAATCAAGGGCTGCTCCAATCCTGAAAGCCTTTAGGAAAATGTTTCAATGGACATGGATAGTTAGCACATCCAAGCACTCATTTTTATTTCCAGCTCTTGCTCAGCCCACGACTGAAGCCTGGGAATGCCCTCTCCCCTGTCTTCTCAGCTTTTCCAAATCCTATTGTGAGCATGTGGAATCAATCCCAGCCTCACCACTTAGCACCGAAGACCCGTGAAACAGGCCAATAGCACGCCCTCTGAGATGTAAGGATAAGGGTGTGCAGCTAGCGCACAGCCAGGCGCACGGCAAAGGGTCCGCGCCCGGCGGCCATTGTTGTTACCAGCCACCCCTGCAGACAGTCTGCAGTGCCCGGTTGCGCTAGGACCCCTCACACCTTCTGCGAGGCCCACAGGCCTTGGCCTTGATCTCAGCTGGCTCACACCTGCCCCTCGGGAGCACTGGAAGCCACATCCCTCTCCACTGCGGAATGGCCCGGAGACAACTGCTCATTTTTCTTGTTTACGACTTAGTGGAACAGAGTCTGAAGTCAATCAGAATCGGTACACATCCAGAACTCTCCCAGGAGGCTGCCAGGCTGTGCATTCAAGTAAACGGTGACTCCGGGGCCCCAGGCGGCACAGCCTCAAACTTGATGGAAGTAAAACCAAGTCCACAGAGCCCGAAAAGGAGCTGCTATCAGAAGCCAGTCACACCCTACACTTTGAGGAACAACCGTTCTGGGAGGGTTAAGCACTGTTTTCACCCTCAGGCAATCCTCAACCCTCAGGCCAAGATGCCGGGGCCTGACAAGGATTACGTCTTCCAGAAGGTCTAAGAGTGCCAAGAAGAAGGGGTTCGAGCAACCCCCAAGCTGGGTGAGTGGCCTGACCTTGGACAGGCCTCACAAGGGCCAGGCCGGAGCAGGGGGCCAGCCTGGACCAACTTCTGCAACTCCTCGGCTGCACTGGCCTCCCCAGATTGCCTCAACCGCCCCAGGCCTGCCTGCTGCCACCGTGCACTCCCCCTGCCCAGGGCCGACCCCTCCCTGCTCCCCGTCTTGGGTCCCAGGCCCGGACAGCTGCAGGTGACCACCTCCCGCTTTCACAGCCCCCCTGGCCACCTTCCCGCTCCCCATTCCGTCTGCAGCTCACTCGCCTCCTCGGGGGTTTGCTCCAGCTTCTCCTTCTCCAGCTTCACGGCACCAAGAGGCGCAGCGCAGGGCTCAGGGGAGGGCCCCTCCGACAGGCTCCCCGCGCCGGCCCCTGCCTCGCCCTCCGGCTGAGAGGTCTCCAGGCCGCCCTGAGGCACGAGGCCCACGGCGAGCTGCGGGGCGCAGTGCGCCATCGCTCCGCAGAAGTCATACGGCGGCGGGCACGGGGGAATCCCCCACACCTCGGCGCCCGGTGCAACCCCGGGCCCGATGGCGGGCCCACCGGGAGGGCCTTGGAAGCTCAGCCAGGTCCGGGGGTCCACCCAGCCTGGCTCCGGCCCTCCAGGCCCATCGCCGCCGCCGCCCGGCGGGGGCGAGAAGGCGAAGTCTGAGGCCAGGTGTCCCGCCATGGGGGAAGGAGGGCGCCCCGCACCGGGGGCCTGGTGAAATAAGGGCTGGCCAGGAGACTGCCCCACACCTCTCTCCCTCCGCAATCCCACCCACTAGCCTTGACCTCTGGCCCCGCCCCCTGGATGGGTGGAGGAGAAGGTGTTGGGGGTGGGAGAAACTGAGGCGAGGGATATTTGCCTGGTTGGCGGCGACGTCTGAGCCAGAGCTGGGCGCCCCTCTGAGCCCTTGGAGATTTTCACTTTCAACTCACAACAAGCTGCCCGGCCGTCGGCGGGGCCCAGCCGTCTGGGGTCCCTTCCACCCCATCCCGGATACCCCGGCTCTGCCCCCTCCCTGGGGGAGCTCTTCACTTCTGAAACACGGCCCCTCGCAAGTCACTAAGAGCACCAGGCTCACTGGCCAGCTGGCTTCTGAACCCCTTCCAGAAACCCCGCAATCCTTTGGAGATCTTGACCAAATCTTGCCACCACCCCGCAGCCCCCAGTGCCGGTGGCCCACCTGCCAACTCCCTTCTCGGAGGCAGATGGCCAGGCCAGGGTGTTTTATGCCACCAGCCTTGGGGCTCCCCTCTTGGCTCCGGGGTTGAGCCCCACTTCAACATGGAGCACTAGGCAATGGACCTACCAGGCCTGTGTTTCCCAACCTTTGTCCAGACAGAAGGAGCTGACCCAGTCTCAGGGGACGCTCACTGCAAGTCCTGCACCCAGGCCCCCGGCTCCCTAGCTCTCCAGGGGCTCCCAGTTCTCCCTCCCCCACTTCTACAGCCCAGGCCTCCAGCCCTAGGCCTGGGTGGGGAAAATCAAGGGAGAGGGTGCGTGTCGAGAAAAAAAAAATCTGACTTCAGGTTCAAAGAGGCCTGGGAGGGACTGGGGGAAGGGGCAGGACAATGGCCTTGGCTGGACAATCCCGGTCCCCAGAGGGGGCAGCGCTAACCCTAAACAAGTGCTCAACCCTTGAATGGGCCTTGGATGGCTCCCCTGGGGACAGCTTCCTGCCCCCCCACCCCCTCGGCCCCAATCCCCTCTCACGGAATCCCTAGTCCAAGCGCCTAAAAGGAGCTCCAGCAGACCCCCTGCCCCAGCCTCTCTGAGACTCAGCCTCAGACGGGCACCAGGGGCCCCCCATGGGGAGCTAGGTATCCAACTCCCTCTTCCTCTGGGGGGAGTCAGGTGTCCAGCCTCGCCCAACACCCACCCCGCCCCCAGGCCCTCAGGCCGTGGGATGCGCTTTGTCTGGGATGGGGGGGGGTGGCTGGCTGGCGGAAAGTCACTGAGGAGGCCGAGAGCGATTTGGGGGAGGGGGTGCAGGAAGCCAGCCCAGAGCTTTCCTTTGGTGTGGACTTTTCGGGGCCTGGGCTTTCCAGAGAGCTCAGGCTGACTGGCTTAGGGCTTGATCCTGTTTGCAAGAGAATAGTCCTCAGATCGCCTGTCTGCTGGGAATGGTGTTTGTCTGTCTACCCCACAACAGGCTCCGGGCCACAGCTCCCCACAGCTTGAAAGGCCAGAACCCAGACCCTGGGGAAGAGGGCCTCTGTCCCCTGCCAACCCCCACCCGAAGGCACCTCCTCCTGTTGGGCTCTAGACTGGCCCCGTCTGGGCTGCTGGCCGGGGTCAATGGCCCTGTCAGGCTTCTGAGGGGCTGGGTGGCCTGGCTCTGTCTGCTTGGTGGTGTCTGTGAGTCTTCGACGCCCGTTCCCTTCTCCCTCTCCGAGTGTGTGTGTCACGCGGCCCACCTCCCACGTGCACCATCTGTGGGGACAACCGGCCAGTCTCAAGCACTTCAGTCCCATAGGTGTACTTGAAGTTCTACAGGGCAGTGCCGCTGGAGCTGTGCCCACCTGCAGCCGGGAACTGCCCCAGAGGCAGGTAGCTTAAGGTGGGGGTGGAGGGACAGGTTTTGGAACTGGAGGGGCCCCTCCCCAGCCATCTCCGAAAACCCCGGGACACGGCCCTCCCAGCACCTTTGTCATGCATTTATCTGCTGTCTGCGTACAAGACGGCCTCCCGGAGGAGGGGGAGGGGTAGGCTGACCGCCCCAAGGGCAGAGCTCTTTAGCTTGTCCCCCCCCTCATAGGCTCCTGCCCAGCCAGCCCAGAGCCCTGGGGTCCTCCTCCACAATTTCCCCACTCCTCACTACCCTCTTGCTTCTCTCTCTTTTTTTTTTAAACATAGTATTTTTTTCTCATTTTTGAGATAACGCAGTTTCAATTTGCATTATAACCAAAGGCTTAATTCTCTGCTAAATAAAGAGTTCCACAAATAAAAAGTAGAAAAGACCATAGTTCACCAGGAAAACAGGCGAGGGTTATAAACAATAATTGAATGAAAAGATGTTCAATTTCACTTGCATACGGTAAAACTGTAGTACTAGAGAATTGTCAGCAATTCCATGAAGGTTTAAAACAAAATTGACAAAATGCTCTGTTTGCAACAAAACTGATACACAACAGGCATTTCTTTCTTTTTTTGTTTTTGTTTATTGTTTTAAAATTTTAGCTCCCACATATAAGGGAGAACATGGGATGTTTATTTCACTCAATAGGATATCCTCCAATTGCAACCATTTCAATGCAGGTGGTAGAATTTCATTCTTTTTTTATAGCTGAATAATATTCGTGTGTGTGTGTGTGTGTGTGTGTGTGTGTATTTATCACATTTTCTTTATCCATACAACTGATGATGGACACCTCGGTTGATTCCATATTTTGGGCTGTTGTGAACACAGCTGCTATAAACATGCTGGTGCACCTCTTGCTTCTTAGATAATAATTTATAGCTGCTCTAGGTAGTAGTTTCTGCCCTGCACAAGAGACACACTCCCAGAGGGACCCAGTGCAGGGTTGGTGGCTGGGCCTCTGGCTGCCTGTGACTGGACATCTGAGCCAGGTCAGACCAGTACATCCAGGCCCTTTGGTCCTGGAAACGGAACATCAAGTGAAATATATGTGAAGTCCTAGCTGATCCCATCCTGGATTGCCCAGGGCCCACAGGCAGCTGAGACCCGCTCCCTCCCCTCCCCACCCTCTTTAGGCCTGAAGGGCGGGAGGCTTCACTTCTGCCAAAGCCAGCTCTCCCCAGGCCTGGCCCAGTAGCCTTGGCCCTGTGGGCCCTGGAGGAGAAGGGAAGCTGGGCTGAGGCGGCAGACCTGGCTCTTTGAGTCTCCTGGGTCTTAAAGAGACACCAAAAACCCTCCCGGAACTGATGAGGGGGTGGGCGCTGTGGCACAGCAGGTGCAGCCAATCCTTGGAACACCCACGTCCCATATTGCAGAGCTGATGAGGGTTGAGTCCCTCAGCTGCTTCAGATCCAGCCTCCAGCGAATGCGCACCCTGGGAGGCAGCAGGTGATGACTCAGGTCCCTGGGTCCCTGCCAGCCACGTGGGAGGCCCAGGTGGAATTCCTGCTTCCTGGCTTTGGCTTGACCATCGTGGCCATTTGGGGAGTGAATCAGCAGACAGAAGATATCTTTCTTTTTCTCTCCTCTGCCAATCTGACCTTTCGAGTAAATAAAATATTTTTTAAAAAAATGGGGGAGGCCCAGCACTGTGGCATAATGGGTAAAGCCGCTCACTGCCTGTAACACTGGCATCCCATATAGGCGCGGGTTCGAGTCCCAGCTGCTCCACTTCCGATCCAGCTCCCTGGTAAAGTGTCTGGGAAAGAAATGGAAGATGGCCTGAGTGCTTGGGCCCCTGCACCCACATGAAAGACCCAGAGGAAGATCTAGGCTCCAGGCTTCGGATCGGCCCAGGCCAGGTCTGGTCATTGTAACCATTTGGGGAGTGAACCAGTGGATGGAAGACCTCTCTCTGTACCTCTACCTCTGCCTCTCTATAACTCTGACTTTCAAATAAATAAATCTTTAAAAAACAAAAACAAAAACAATATGTGCTTATAAACACTCCACACCCACCTTTACTGTAGTTCAATGTCAAGGCCCTTCACAGAGCATTGCTGGGAGGCCCAGGAAGGGCAGGTGAGGGCTGTCATTCACTACACTGCAGAAAGGTGTGGCGAGTGGGCCCAGCCATTGCCTGGCTGGAAGACCAGCTGAAAGGCCCCGGTGGGGTCTGAGCAAGGCTAGGCTAGGAAACCACTTATTTTGAGTTCTGGGTTCTGCCAGTCTGAAGGTCAAAGAGAGGGAGTGAAGGGTCAGGCTTGGCCCCCTTGGGAGATGTTCTCCCTTGATCTCATTGTACACAGCTTCCCCTGCTCACCTCACACCCGCCCTCCGCTTCTCTGACCTCCCACATGGGGCCTGCCAACTGAGGTCTTTTCTCTCCACGTCCAGGCACTGCCCCCACACAGAAGAGTCTGCAGGGGAAGTGAGAGTAAGAGGGGTAGGGCAGCCAGGAGAATGGTCAAGAGTAAACCAAGAGTCCCCAGCCAGGGTTCTAGGCCCTGGCTCTGACTCCCAGCTAACAGCACCACCCATTCTGTGCCTGTTCCTCATCTGCCAAGAAGAATTGGAGTGTGGGCATTTGGTGTAGCGGCAGAGGCAGCGTCTGGGGCACCTGTATCGCATATGAGAGTGCTGGTTCGAGGTCCACTTCTGATCCAGTTTTCTACTCTCGGACATCCTGGGAGGCAGCAGGTGTTGGCTGAAGTGGTTGGGTCCCTGCCATACAATCCAGGGAGGCCTGGATTGAGTTCCTGGGTCCTGGTTTTAGCCCGGAGCAGTCCAGCATTTGGGGAGTGAATCAGCAGATGAAAGATCTCTGTCTCTCTTTGTTTCTCTTTCAATAAAAATGAAAATAATTTTTTTACAAAGAGAAATTGGAATAAATGAGCCCTAAATTTCCTTTCCAACTAAATTGTCCCCATGCATCATCCTATCAACCTTTATCTCTCACTAGCATGGGAACACAGATTCTTCTCTCTACACCTGCAAAGAGACTGGGGTAGGAGAGGTGGGAGAGAGGAGATGCAGTGAGATGTTGGTACAAGCCCCTGAACCTACCTCCGATATCCAAGTAGCCCTCCAACTTCTCATGAAGAAGAAAGCAGGGGTGGGGGGGGACTGGCTTTGGGGCACAGTGGGTTAAGATG